CCGGAAAATCCAACAGATTTTCTCTTCAAAAATCCGCTAAAAAATCCGGGGAAAATCCGCTAAAAAATCCGCGGATTTTTAAAAATCCGAAAATCCCGTACGCTTTTTTGGAGTGAAATGCCCCTCGGGCTCTCTGGCAGGAATCGAACGGGGTATAGTCTCAGAGGGCATATAGGGGGCCTACAGGTGAGTTTCACTCAAGCATTATACAATAGGGAAACGCTTGGTGATCAACTTTGCACATATTGCCGCTTTATGCCTGGTGTAGTAAGCAAGTAAATATCGTTAAATTGCATATATTTGATACCAAACACAAGATCAATATTTTGTAATGAATATTTAACTTGTGTTTGTGATGTTACTCTGAGTGCATATCCACACCGGGCGAGCTTGAAAAATATGCCCGGCCACGGTGGGATTCGAACCTACGACCTTTGGAATACTAGCCCAATGCTCTCAACTGAGCTACGCGGTCAGGACGGTTCGAGTAAGTGATATTTCGGAACAGTATCTAGTTCCTTCAATACCAATGTGTTCTAGTAATATGAATTTTTCTGTGTTGGTGTACTAGAACACATTGGTATTGAAGGAACTAGATACTGTTCCGAAATATCACTTACTCGAACCGTCCTGACCGCGTAGCTCAGTTGGAAGAGCATCGGGCTAGTATTCCAAAGGTCGTAGGTTCGAATCATGGTTCGAATCCCACCGTGGCTGGGCATATTTTTCAAGCTCGCCCGGTGTGGATATGCACTCAGAGTAACATCGCAAACATATTATTCACCTGAGTACACAACACCAACACAGAAAAATTCATATTTAACTTGATCCGATAAATGTGTTTCCATTTCGAGTTGACCACCAAGCGCTAAACGTATCACGTGACTCAAACCCAGCTATAGTTGCATCTTTCGCACTCCGTCCACAAAATCTTTCAACGTTAGTTCAATTGAGTGAGATGCCAATAAAATCATGATTTTCACATAGCTTTCGCGGACACCTGTAGCGGAACGTGGGGGTGAAAATGATTAATGTGTAATTAGATTTTCAATGTAGCGATATATATGCTCAAGCTGGATAAGTGGAACGAGCGAAGTATTTGAGGTCAAAATGACATTTATATAAACGAATTAAAAAATGGTCTACAAAATTCAACTATTTACTAGTAAAATAGTTTAACTCTAATAGAGTAACGAGTTAATATCAATAATATAGTGAGTGTGTGTGTGTGTGTGTGTGTGTGTGTGTGTGTGTGTGTGTGTGTGTGTGTTAATCCTTACTTGCAGCTGAGAGCGAAGCTGACTTACTAAGGACGCAGCTCAACCTGATTGAGTCGAAGGCTTTCTAAGGGCCACCTTATGACTCAAGTTTCTAAAGTCTCTGACAGCCATGCACCTGATGACTCGGTATCTGATCCGCAGGGAGCATGACTAGTGGAAGGGTCTGTTTGGGGGTTAATCCCAACCACCCTGTCAACTTTCCCTGTGGGAGGAAACCGGAGTACCCGAAGAACACCCACGACTTTCGGCAGAGCGTTGACCGACTCTTTTCACATGTATTCTTGTGGTTGGAGCTCAGCAAGAACTTGTGGTTGGAGTTCGATCAACTGGACTCTGTAGCTCAGTTGGTTAGAGCGCCTGCACCAGAATCGCCGGGCTGCAAGTTCGATTCCTGTCCATATGGCAATTGCTAGATAGTATACTTCAAAATAAGGTTTCCGAGCTTATATCAATTTTTAAAATAAGTTCGGTCTCGGGTTAAGTTAGGGTTGGGGTTAGGGTTGGGGTTAGTATTAGGGTTAGGGTTTAGTTTTGCGTTAGGATGGATTTTTCTACGTTATAAAAACGGAAACCCTATTTTGAAGTATACTTTCTCAGCAATCACCCTGTCGTCCATATCGGGAGGGCCAAAAGTTGCATTCAGTTTCGCAGCTGACTCTGGTTAGATCTAAAATTGTATATAGTCTTGCGCACGAACGTTTCGTCTACAAAAACTCTTCGACTGATAATGAAGTTACACCAGTTTTTACTAATCAAGTTTAATGCCTAATGTATAATTTTTAAAATGGTTTCAGAAGTCAACATTGAACTGAAAACACTACCCATTTCATCTGTTTCATTTCAAAATAAAATATTGAGAGTAAAATGTACTGGGGATGATAATTTTATACTATACTATTTATACACATATGCAACGGTAGATTTCTGATAAATTGTACACAAGATCCAAAATGTTGTCCGCAAAATTAAAAGCGGCACTGATAATCGGTATTTCGAAGATAAATTTTAAAATTTATTGACGAGTGCAGGTGTTTTAGCAGCACCGCTCAGTAAATGAACTTTTAATTTGTATCAATTGTCTATATTGAACTCAGAAACGTTATAATATGCATATATAACGACGGAACTAACGAAGAATCGAGTCCTGTGAAGTGCACATGTGACATATTCCCCACACCTCATGGCAATAAATTATTTAAAATTTTACAAATGAAAACGATTAATTCGAGAGTTTCTGACATTATTGACAACACCCTATACAGCGTAAAAGGCAGCATTTTGCGTTAGTTCTTTGAATGACTTGAAATGAACAACACTAATAGTAGTAAGTCAACAAATGGGTCGTCCTCGTATGTCAAAATGTGCTACGTCATGGACGACGAGGCACAGGTGCTCACCAGTTTCCCTACGAACGAAAGCATCCTGGTTCACATATTCGCTTTGATTCTTATAATCATCTTAACTTTTACAACAATTTCCCTAAACGGCGTTACCGTTTTCACGATATGGCGTTCGCGAATACTGAGGCAAAAATCGTCCAATTTTACCATTTTGTTACAATCTGTCGTTGACTTTGCTAACGGAGTCTTCATCATGCCTTTGATTACATTTCACTGGGCGAGCGAGGCTGCAGGCAGCCCAAGTTGTGTCGCTGCTTACGTTGTCAAAAAGTCCGCAATGTTGATGACCTTTTATACGCTAATAACCCTGTCCGTCATGAATTTTGATCGATACATGGGAGTCTTGCATCCGTTCGTTCACCGGCGCGTGGTTACCAACGAGAGGCTGTTGGCATACGTTATCGCCGTTTGTACGATACAGACGGTAATCTACGGCTTCAGTGTAACCCATAATAAAATAATGCGTCCTATTCTGGTCGCAACCACAACACTCTTCATATTCACAACCGTTTTCGTGTATTTCAAGATTTTTTTATCAATCCGCTCGAGAAATCGAGTTGGAGTGATTTTGGTGGGAAAAAACATTGAAAGCGACGCGATTCGTCTGTCACGACGCGACGTTTCTGAAAAAACCTCGGCCGAAAATCGTAGCGGGAAAGCAGAGTTTTTGAAGGAACTCAAAGCGGCGAAATCCAGCTTTTTAGTCGTGATGTGTTGTCTTGTTTGTTACGTGCCAGGTACGCTCTCGTTCGGGCCGTTAAACCTGATGTCGAGTTTCCTAGCGGTTGCGTTAAAAGTTTGGTTCGTCCTTCTTGCCATGTTGAATTCGACCATGAACTCCATCATTTATTTTTGGATGAATAATATGCTACGAAAACTTGGCAAGGATATGGTGAAGAGCATGTGGAATTCGTTAACGCGGCAAGTTTAGATATAGTTTACTGAGATTGTGACAGTAAATCAACTCTTTTTAGTTGTAACAGGGACGTGCTGGCTAGGGTGTGGGCCCCTGCCATCATGCAGGGGCCCCTAAAATTAAAACATTGAAAAAGATAGAAAATATAGATTTTAATTTTGAAAATCAAGATTAAGATATTACAATTCATATTTTAATTGAATCTAAATTTACGAAAATATTACCGAAAATTTAACAAATTACTGTACATTAATTCGAAAGTTACTGAAAAATAGTATGTCCGGAAATTTTTTTACTCCCAACAATTTTGGGGGAAAAGATTAATTAGCGACGCGACTGAAAATCTGAAATATTTCATGTTTTATCAGTAATACCCCCAATCTCATTCCCCGAGCCTGCGATCCTCGGGAAGGAACGTGAGGCTCTGGGATAATCCGTTGCCGGAAGCCAGGAATCCTGGCTAAAGGCCGTTTTCCACTAGGCGGAATTTTCCGCGCGGAGCGGAATTTCTCTTTGTCTTTTCTAATTAGTTCCACCCGAGAAATCACAGGACAAAGAGAAATTCCGCTCCGCGCGGAAAAGTCTGCAAACAAGTTGTTACACGTCTGTTCACAAGCTGTTAACAAGTTGTGCTCGCACTGCTTGTTCCCAGTTGTTGTAACAAGTTTGAAACAAGCTGTTAACAACTTGTGACAACCTTGATGGCATTATCAGCCTTAGCTTGTTACAAGATTGTGCTAACAACTTTGTTACAGCCATGATATAACAAGGATGTTACAAGGTTGTCAACACAAGGTTGTAACAATCTTGTTATATCAAGCATGTCACAGACTTGTCAGAACAACCTTGCAACAAGTCTGATAATTTCGACAAGGTTGTTACAAGTTGTCAACAAGTTGTTCCAAACCTGTTGACAACTTGTGACAAGCAGTGCGAATACATCTTGTTAACAGCTTGTGAACAGACTTGTAACAAACTTGTGCGTTTTTACGTGTGTAGTGGAAAACAGCCTTAAGACTGAACTGCGCATTCCATATCAACGGCCAATCAGATTCCTCCCTAAAACAGATTATCCCAGAGCCTCACGTTCCTTCCCGAGGATCGCAGGCTCGGGGAACGAGATTGATCTTGATCCATTTGTCACTGGGCCTGGGCCCCATCAGACGTTCATTCGTCGTCCTTTTCAAGACCCCAGCACGTCCCTGAGTTGTAAAGTTATCGGACAATAAATATATTCATTGACAATGGACCTTTCCCCTTATAACTAAAATTTCGATCTAGACAAATCACAGCTTGAAAGAGCATCACAAAATTAGTAATATTCCAAAGTTTTGTTGCAAAATCTTGTAAAATGCGGATAATATAGCCTTGCGAAGTTTGCCGTTTTTCAGTCATTTTGTATTACAAACGGGAAATTGACATCCGATTC